TTTATTTATGTGTGATGTCCTTCAAACTCACTTTCATGGTTTTAATTGACAGGTTGCGCTTAGGAATAACTGAGGCATAGGCCTGTCTCTGGGTGTCATCTTCATTGGGACAAAGAGAGGGACTGGCAGGTGAAGCTTTATTCAAAAGTTTGATTTAAGGCATGGGTTATTTTTTATTTGTCACATGAGCAGCTCAATTCCACACCTTCCTTATGGGAAGGGGTTTTTTTTGGTTCTTCCTCCATTAAATTTTCCAATCAGTCTGAAATAGTTTTCCAAACTCAGAACAATCACAAGCCAGAGAATCCAATCCAGAGTCATAAGGCTGACTCCTCAGACTGAGTAGTTTAGATTTTGCTGTTCAGATTTTGACTCTCTTTGGTGAGCCTGACTGCTCATCCACTCATCATACTACTTTCTCAAGGTATACTTTGTGGACTGTAGCATACCATCCCATAACATAATTATCATCTGACCACCTTGGCCCAGGGATTCATACACTACTACCTTTTCCTGGGCAAATGTTGACCCACTCTTGCTGTCCTCCACAATTTCAGGGGTTCTTTCAAACCCTATAGTATAGTAGACCTTCTCTGAACTTTCCCAGGTCTGCCTGTGTGTGTGTGTATGACCTTCAGGAGACATATGCCCTTCTTTAAAGTTTGGCTTCATAAAGAACAAACAGTTTGAAGGGCAGAAGAGTAGTAGCAAGGTGCCCCACACTATCTTGCACTTTCCCTCTGATGAGAAAGATGCAAACTGCTCTCTCTCTCTCTACTAGCAAACGCCTAGGTCATGAGGAGGGGAAGGGTGGTCTTAGCAGCTTCTCAGGTGTTCTCTTCCATAGGAAGCAGAAAACAAAGATAGGCAGGCAGAGAGTGGTTTCCCGAGGCACAGTGGAAATACTCAAGAAGGCCAAAGCTGGTGGTACTTTTAGTAAACATGCCTGCTCACTTCCACATGGAAAAGATTTCTTTCCCCTTATATCCATACATCATTACTATGTACTAGTGCCAGGGATACCATGAGTTTTTAAAAAAACAAAATGCTTATGAAATTACTGGATTTCCCCACTCTAAATTTTGTTTTATTCTCTAAGTATCCAGTGCATGTGCAATGTACTTGAACTGCAGATTTGATTTCATCTTCAGGCTCATAATTTTAACATGTGTAATTTATCTTGATGCTAAAGTTTCATGCCTCAAAGCAATACATTTTGAGGTCACAGCCAAAAAGGCAATCTCCAGTTATTTCTATTGGACTATATTTTGAATTCTTTGAGTGGAGGCAAAATGGAAAAGTCTTTACTTGATTTTTAATGATATCTCAGATCATCACAAGGTGAATTTCTTTCAAAAGAGAGAAAAAAAGCAAAAAGATCTTGATGTGGGTCTTTGCAGCCAAATTCCCGCAAACTGCTGTGCGCAGGTCAGACCTCACACCATCAGGAACTGTATTGGCAGAACAAACAGATACTAGCAAATCAATTGTAATACCTCATTTCAGGACTTTGGAGATTAATTTTTTCATAAATTTGGAAGCTTGATTTAATTACAGTAATTATATTATTTTCTAGGAGTTGATGGATTACTTCTTACTCTTTTCTCTCTGTATGTAATGAATCATATTGAGGTTTTCTCTTATTTACACCTGTTAAAGTCCTGGAAATAAGTAGTGATAGGCATTAAAGAAACGTAAAAGAAATTATCCTAAACCATTTGCTACGTATTCTTACTCCTTTTGTAGGTCCATTCTCACATGTAGTGATAATGATTCCATTCTTCTGGAAATAATTGCAGGAACTCCTTTTTAATTCTTTTTCTATAGGGATTCTATTCTAGATAGAGCATATATTAGACATGCCAGACATCTACTGTTACTCTTCACGTCACTCTATTATCTTTCATTCTCATTTGTTCATTTTTGAATAAAATGCAGTGGATGTGAACGTTATTTTGGCTACCACACTTCCCAGTACTTGTGATGCTATCGAATATAATTGTATACATGTTAGAGCTTTGATTTTACTGTTGCTTGAAATTGCTTCTAAATGGAAACAGGGATTAGATGACATCCTATCATTAAAAAAAGTTCATCTATCACATTTAAGTGCTAGTCACCAGGCTATCTTGTCTTTCATAGAGTTTTTGAGTATTATGCTGTCTCCTGGTCTTTGAATGATCAGTAACAGATCATTAGTTTCTTGTTGATGGTTCTTCCCTTATGCAAAGAAGCTTATAATCAGTGTTCATAATTTATATGGAAAGAAACACAATCCACCCCTAAAATTAAGTAAGAGAGTTATAACTGTCCTTTCTGTCAACTTAATTCATCCTGAGAATATTTTTTAAGCATCAATTCATTATTTTTGTGGGGGGGGGTCAAGGGCTGATTCCCTGCCCCTATCTTCACTTAACCTATTCTAATTTTGCTCTGATGCCTTTCACTTTCTCACTGGCTTTTGCAGTTAGAGCAGTAACTAAGTAACTAATCATCACCCTGATGCTGAGCTGCTAGCTGGGGGGGGGAGACTGCTGTTAATTAGCCTTGGATCCCTCCCCTCCCATGCAAAAAAGTTAGGTCACTCCCCTGTAGAGAAGCAACTCCTTCCAGCAACGAGGCAGGTGGATAGCTGTCAAGGAAACTTCTGCGGGGCAGCAACAATGAGGAGTCAACAGACTGGAGACAAACATATGTGCTCCTCCTTTAGCCTGGAGAGTAGATAAAGGTTGATAGCAAGCCTGTATGGAACAGATGGGACAGTGGAAATCATGTAGCCCCACAGGATTTCAAGCATGAATTAGAGCTGCCTTGGGGGTCACTGATACAGGGTATCAGGCAAGCCTGTGCATAACACCTGTGTACTGCCTTTCTGAGAACGGAGGAGTTCAGAATCGGAGCCCATATGCGTTTAGTTTCCGAAGCTCATAAGAATAGGATTTTGAAAGCCATTAGGACTGTAGTTTATCCATTGAGTTATGAATTATATTCTCTGAAATACAGTATTTCCATTCTTCTTTTGGGAATGATAATCATTTCCTCTTAATTAATCTTGACAATTTGTTCATCTTCATGGAGTAGATCTTCATGAGGAGAAAGAAATACACATTTCCTTCAGGACCAAATTATGAACACAAAAAATTGAAAAGCTGCAATGTTCTATCACATTAACTCAGGTCCTACAATGAAGCAATCACATTTGATAAATGGTGACATTAAGAATAACATTAGAGAACACATGCACATGGTTGGTATGGCAAGCAGGACATCTAACTAGCAAATGGCATAGACATCACACTCCTCATTTATATCTTCAGGAATGATGGACATATAGAAAAAAAATTAATATTTTAAAGAATTCTTTGTCACAGCCAAGAAAATGCAGGTCTTTACTGGATGTTTTGCTGAGCTATACTCTTGTAACTTTAATGCTATGAAAAATTATGGAATTATTCTATACTAAATATATAAGTATATAACATATTGTAACAACATATATTAACTATTATATGTGTACCTTATATATTTTATGTATAATATATGTATATGTGTATGTATAACAAAAATTTATACTATGATAGATTTATTTTTAATATTTTTAAATATTTACACATATTATAAGAAGTATGATGTAATTTTAAATTTACTTATATAAATTATGTGGGTGGGTGTACAATGTTAGATAAACCTACAGGAGCAGTTTTAGAGTGTTACTGTTATATCAAAGTGACTTCCTGTTTAAGATTGTAAGTGACAGTAAGAATTATTTTCTTCTACTTTTGACCTACATTTCACCATTTCTGAATGGCTAGTATTCAGTGTTTTCTTTAATCCAGTCATTGAGATAGAGTTTGCTTGTTAAAAGTTATAGAAATTATTTTAAAACATACAGCTATAAATGAATTAATTCGTTGCTTGTATTATTATAGGGTTCTGGAGATCTCTGACTTGAGTCAAAGCACAGAAGATCCTTTTAAGGATTTCTTAACTCTTAAATGGGGACAGTAGATTTTCCCAAAGCCCTTGGTGTTTTTTTTCACCTTTTCGTTGCAATCAATAGTAACAATTCAACTGAGTCTAGTAAGATGATATTTTGACTAAAACTGACTGCTTCCATTGTCCCACCTGTACTTTCTATTGTTCTTTCTCCAATATATAGTTCAAAGAAAAAATCGGAA